TATGTCTGTATATATCTAAATAATAAAAATTGCTGTTAAGACTCATAATACGCACCTCAAGGATTTTCCCAACATTTATTTATTCACATTCTGTTCGTATATCATATTCCCAGATTGTTAACCAAATAGATAATTTGTTCATGGGACTGCTGAAACTAACTTATTAAAAGAATTCCTGTTGTTATTCTCAGTGACTTCATGAATTTCAGTGTTTAAAACTGACATTCTGATTATGCCAAAGCTCTGTACACTTAACAGATTATACTGAGATAGTCCATATTAAAACTTCAACTGAAAAAAAGGGTTAGGATTTGCTACAAATCTAATTGAGAAAACCTCACTTGTAATGAAGATTTTTTGACACATAACCACCTGAATGGTGACAAAGAAACATGAAATTGTGAAAGGATCAGCCTCTACTTATTGAAAGATCACCCGCAAGCAAATTCCTAAAGATTCTCTGAATGGTAGTAAATGATTCATGGTGGGAACAAAACGGTGATATTCTGTAAGCTGAGAGAGACATTACCAATAATATTTTCTTTCAATTCCCAGTCACAGATGTAGAGAAAGATAGGTAAGTCAGGCTGATATTATTGGAAAAATGCCAACTTTTAGAGATTTCTTATGGTTTTAAGATATGAAGAATTTATACACGGCACTCATCTATTCTGTGATACTTAATTAGGAGTGTATTCAAATCTAGACATTTTTTTTGCTGTTGTTGTTTTAGACAAGAGTCTCACAATGTTGCTCAGGCTGGACCCAAAGTCCTAGCGTCAACCAATCCTCTCAGCTCAGACTCCGGAGTAGCTGGGACTGGAAACATGCAACTGTGAATGACTTCAAAAAATATTTTTAACTATATATGTTCAGGCCTTATTAGATCTATTACATCAAAATCTTCAAGAGAAAGCTTATACTTGTAGAGTTTTTACAAAATTTCCCCAGGTCCCTGTAATGCACAATTCTAGCTGAGAATTAGTGTAGCTGACAATCACTTCGGTTTCATCGCTCACCCAAACAGCCAAAACCCTTTATCAATTTGGGATGTGGCCAAAAAGAGAAAAGAGTAAGACTCTTTTATTAAAATTCCAGTTAATTTTCCTGGGTATGGGTAGAACAGGGACACGTAAACTCAAAATCCCACTTGATTTTGCTATTTATAAGCTCCTTATCTCCCACCTTCACACCAAGACATTCCAAATTTGAAAGGAGACTTCAATTCTTTTCCAAGTGGCTGTTTCTGCCAGCTTGGGTAATAAGTCAATTACTAATTTGTTCCACCCTTTGCTGAAGTTTTTCTCACTTTGTCACCACCTATTCACTGTCATTCTGGTTTCCTCAGAGTCCTCTAAAAATTGATCTTTAGGCAAGTTTCAGTCACAGTCTTTACCAAACCAAAACTGATTACGCAAAAGCTGAGGAGAGCTTGGTCTCAATACATAAACTGGAAAAACAACAAACTAAAAAACAAAACCTCTGCTTTATATTTTCCCCTCCTTACCTAATTTCCAAGTGACCTGTATGTTTCTGATTGCTCTCCTTTCCCTTCCCATTTTTTCCTCTTAAGCCTTGCCACTAAAAGATACATCAGTTTTTTTTTTTGTTTGTTTGTTTTTTAAGAAAATTGTCAGCAGCAGCAACATTTCCGTTTATTGTAAGTTGCTTTAGTTTTGTTTTGGGTTTTAAAATAAAGCCAATTTCCAGGGTAAATTTTTTTTCCTGTGTTTTCTTACACTAATTAGAAAAATAAAACAATCCTGGGGCAGGAAACAAATATTTGAAAAGGAAAAGTTTTATCTTCATCAAATTCACAAATATTTCCCATAAGTGCACTAAAAAAGCTTCTTTAGAAGTATCAATATTTAAAGTAAAATCTTAGACAGTTATTTCAAAATATTTTCTTTTTTAATTGTACTTTAGGTTCTGGGGTACATGTACAGATCATGCAGGATTGTTGCATAGGTACACACTTGGCAATGGGTTTGCTGCCTCCATCCCCCTGTCACCTGCATCTGGCATTTCTCCCCATGTTATTCCTCCCTGACCTCCCCACCCCCTCACTGTCCCTCCCTTGACTCCCTCAACAGACCCCAGTGTGTGATGCCCCTCTCCCTGTGTCCATGTGTTCTCATTGTTCATCAACCGCCTGTGAGTGAACATGTGTTTCATTTTCTGTTATTGTGTCAGTTTGCTGAAGATTATGGTTTCCAGGTTCATCCATGTCCCTACAAAGGACACAAACTCATCATTTTTTATGGATGCATAGTATTCCATGGTGTATATGTGCCACATTTTCCTTATCCAGTCTATCATTGATGGGCATTTGGGTTGGTTCCAGGTCTTTGCTATTGTAAACAGTGCCGCAATGAACATACGTGTGCATGTGTCTTTATAATAGAATGATATGTAATCCTTTGGGTATATACTCAATAATGGGATTACCAGGTCAAATGGAATTTCTATTTCTAGGTCCTTGAGGAAGCACCACACCATCTTCCACAATGGTTGAACTAGTTTACACTCCCACCAACAGTGTAAAACTGTTCCTATTTCTCCACATCCTCTCCAGCATCTGTTGTCTCCAGATTTTTTAATGATTCTAACTGGCGTGAGGTGGTATCTCAATGTGGTTTTGATTTGCCTTTCTCTAATAATCAGTGATGATGAGCATTATTTCATATGTTTCTTGGCCTCATATATGTCTTCTTTTATTTCAAAATATTTTCATTCAGGGAGTGCTTCAGCTTCTAAACGTGAAAAATTAATCCTTACCTATATCAATGTTAAAAGAAATATTTTAAAAAGAAAGTTGATTGATCTATACCTTGTTTATTGCTTCAATATTTGCACGGTGGGAAAGAAGTTTTTCTGCCAGTGAAGTCCCCTTATTATATATAGCATAATGAAGGGCGGTGTTTCCATAGACATCTTGAATGTTTGGATTCGCGCCATGTTTCAGCAGATAAATGGAACAATTCTCCTCCTGGCCATGTACAGCCTATCAGTGTTAAATAAAAAACTAGACTGTAAATTCTAAGAATTCAAAATACATATTCCACAGGTTTTACCAGGTAGTTATATTTAAATGCGATAAATTCATTTTATTTCTATGTATTTAAATCAAATCCATTTTATACTGAAAGAGTTGTCTACTACATACCTTCATTAAAGGTGTCCTGTTTAGTCTGTCACCGATGTCAATCTGGCATTGTCTGCTCACTAACAGACTGACAACTTCCACATGGCCATAAACACAGGCCAAATGTAGAGCAGTCCTGTGAGAGTAAGGGGAGTTTTCAGGAAATTGCAATGCCATATCCCAAGACCTACAATGGTTCATGTCATTGTAAACATTGAATAGCATGTTATTTCTCTGCCTTCAAAACAATTTTTTTTTGGAAGAAAGTACAATATTTATTAGCTCTTACTGCTCACTACCTTAATGAAGACAGCAGCCTACAGGTATTGATCAACTTACGACCGATGCGACTTACGACCTATGCAACTTACGACCATTCGACTTTACGACCACAATCACTAGCCACAACTGCTCCGCTGTAGATTTTTGGAAACACTACAACATTTTGATGTGTATCAAGAATATCGCCACCGCCTGGGAGGCTGTGACGACAAAGTGCATGAATGGCATCTGGAAAAATTGTGTTAAGCGCTATGTTAATAATTTTGACGGATTTGACAGTGAACATGAACTTGAAACGATTCGGGAAAAAATAGTAAAACTCGCTAAAGACCTTTCTTTGGAGTGTGAAATGGAAGATGTCGAAGAGTTGCTAGACAAAGAATCCGGAGAACTTACAAATGAAGAGCTAATCGAACTGGAAGAAGAAAGAGTGGCGGAAGAAGAAAGAAGCAGAGAAAGAAGAGGAGGAGCCAGAAAGAAAGTTCACCACTAAGGGATTATCAGACTGTTTATCTTTACTGAATAAACTTCTTATACATTTCGAAGCAATGGACCCAAATATCGAACGATTTGCAAGGATTGAACAGATGGCACACGATGTGTTTTGTCCGTATCGTGAAATTTATGAAGGAAAAAAGAAACATACAATTCAGACAAAGCTCACCATGTTTATGAAAAAACCAACTCCGGTAACCCCAACTGCTGCCTCAGATGACGACATCAGCGATCCGCAGCCAAGCACCAGCGGCCAATAAAATGTTTCGTACATGTTTATATATTTTGAAATGTTTTGCAATTGGGAAAATGTTTCCTATGGTATTTTTTACACCTGTATTTTGTATTTTTGTATGCACCTGTATTTTGTAATTTTGTATGTTTTGCAAATATTAAACCAATTGTACTGGTAATGCAGTGTTTTACTTAAACCTGACAAATGTAAAAATAAGAAACAAAATGGTGTAGAGATGATACAAATGGCATAAAATGAACAAAGAAAATTATGATATATAACAATAATGAAAGAAAATTATGATAAAATATGACAAAGATTTTTATAACATCATTTCACAGTACTGTACATATAGCCTACTCAACTTACGACCAAATCGTGTTACGACCGGTCTGTCGGAACCTGTCGTGGTTGTAAGTCGAGCACTAGCTGTATTTGGATAGAATGAGCTTGGTCTTTGGATTCCGTTCAACTAGGGCTTGAGTTCTACTTTGAGCTCTGTCACTTACCAGCTATTACTTAGGCTTTCTGTGCCTCAGTTTCCTCATTAATAAAGATGACAATAGCAGCTAGCTCACAGGACACCATTGTGATGCTTAAATGTGAATCTATGTAAACTATTTAGAACTGTTTTTAGAACAAGCAACAACTCAGTAATTGTTAGATTTGAGTTTTTTGAGAAAGGGTCTCACACTGTTGCCCAGGCTGCAGTGCAATGTTGTATTTATACCTCACTGCAGCCTGGAACTCTCAGGCTCAAGCAATCATCCTGCCCTAGCATCCTGGGTAGCTGGGACCACAGAAGTGCACCAGCATGCTCCACTAATCTTTAAATGTTTTTTGGTAGAGTAGGAATCTCACTTCGTTTCCCAGGGTGGTCTCAAACTCCTGGCATCAAGGGAAACTCCCACCTCAGCCTTCCAAAGTTCTGGAATGACAGGTGTGAGCCACTGCACCCAGCCAGATGTTATAATTATTACTATTACTAGTACTTAAAAATTTTTTTTCATTAAGTAAAATGATACAATTATTCCTATTTTGCAAAATGATTTAAAGATTAGGTCACATCTTAACATACCTGATATTGGAATGGCATTTATAATTCATAACTTTTTATACCTGTAATTGGTAGCATTTTAAAAGTATCTTATTAATATACTTTAAATTATATTTAAATATAATATAAAATAATAGGGTATCACAATATCTGTGAGGCCTTACATTAAGTAAAATACAGTATACACAGCAGGTCTAGAGCTATTTTAGGCATCTAACTCACACTTAAATTTTAGTTCTTAAAGGAACCATGGGAAAAGAGCACTGAAATAACATGTTTTTTAAACAAATTATTTCTTACTTTGATTTTTGAAAAATGTGAAGCCAAAAGAAACTCATGATTGACATAAACAGGTATGGATCATTTTAGTCAACACTTAGATTTACAGAATACATGCAAGTCAGACTTTCTAATGACTGATATTAGTATTTAAGACTGATAGATTTTCAAAAGGGCAGTTAAAGGTTATCTTTTACTATTTTTTACCTTCAAAATGCTTTTGTTTGAAAGCTGGAAGGAAAAGCTTCAATGAGATTAAGCCCTAATATTTCCATTTAACCTCTCTCATCTTGCTCTGGCAGAGCAGGTAAACATAAAGTTTTTAAGAATGGAAGGGTCCTGAGAGATAGTACAATCTGTCTGCTACAAAACAGATATTCAGGTTATTCTGATGAATAAATGGACTGAAAGAATTGATACAGTTGGGGAGTTCAATATTTTAAAATATAACTTCTATAATCCAATATTTTCGTGATAGTAATTTTATTTGTGATTTGTTATTTTTATAAGACTACAACTAAAACAAAATGATTAATCTATCATTGTTTGCATATATGTAATGAATCTATACATAAGAAAAACATATGTACATAACAAAATGTATATGTAATAACATCTGCAAGCACAGATAAAGAGTCCCTTTTTACTTCTGAAGAAGCTAAAACTTCAAAGATAACAACCCACACAGTAATGATGAAAAATAGACAATTAGAAATTATTTTTATCTCCACAAGATTTATATTTTTCTCATCCCCAAAATTATTTCATTAATAATAAATTTTTACTAGAATTGTTATACTCACTGAAGAAATTACAGGTTAAAAAAGGAACAAAAATTTAAAACATAAGTGCTCAGAAGTCACAAATTTTATCCTACTTTGTACAAAGTTTTGGCTAACAACACCATGGTATGTTTGTGTGTATGTGCAAGCAAACATTGTTTTTCCTCACTGGCTATAACAAAATATATCTTCACACAGCAACATATCTCTATACTTACTGCCATCTTCAGTTGTCACCTATTCATTCTATGGGTTCTTGTTAACATAAATGCTAAGAAAAACAAAGTGCATGTATCTCTATTTTCTAAAGGCATTTTAATATAATGGAATTGATGCGTAAAGGGCATATACATTTTTCAATTTGGTGTAATTATCACCAAATTGTCTACTTGAAAAGTTATCAGCAACTTAAACGTTAAGCAGCAGTATAAGTACCACTGCTCTTTATTCTCACAAACACTGTGGATAGAAAACAGTCTCATTCCTCTTTTAACTTAAATTCTCTTACAAGAAACACTAAGGATTTTTTCCTATGTAAGTAACTTGTGGATCTGCAAAAAAGTACTTTGCTCACTTTTAGAGTTCTTTTCTTGTGGATTTGATTTGAAAAAATGCCCTGTAAAATAAAGATGTGGTTTTTATTTATCATTTGGTTTATGGAAAACTGATAAACATAGAGTTCACATTTTGAGAAAACTGAGTCTTCCCATTCAAGGAACTCACCTCCCACTTCCTAGTTTCCCTCTAAGAAGTCCCAGGAAAGAACCTATCTACATCGATTCGGATGTAAAACGGACACCGGGTTTTTAATCTGAGAACGTTTCGCCTACTGAAAATGACTCATGCTATTTTTGACAAGGGAATGAGTTCTCATTAGGCACTTTCCGATCATGTATATGACACCATGTTTTAAACGTGCACATGCTCAGGTTTGTGAGTTAAATCATTCAAATTTTGCACCAAGTTCTCCAGGCGGGGAATTCCCAGCGATGGAAAGCAGCTGAGGCTCGCTTTCGCTCCGCGGCTTTGAGGCTGCCCGGCGCCCTCCAAGACCCGGTCCCAGGGGCTGCAGGGAAGCCGGGCCTGGGGATCCCCCTCTGACCCCGGGCTGAGTCCCAGCTACAAGCCCGCGCTACCTGTCCTTCCTGTCGCGGGCGTCCACATCCCGGCTCCTGCGCCTCAGGCAGCGCTCCACCCCCGCAGCATCGCCCTGGAGGGCCGCCCTGTGGATCTTCCGCAGTTCCCAGTCCCGGACGTGGTACCCGGGACCGGAGTACTCGTCGTCGGCGGAGCCCCGGAACGCCTGGCCCAGGCGTCCCCCGAAGCTAAAGAGCTTCCTCATGGTGGCGACTTCTCCTCAGACGCCCACCACCGACTCCTGAGCCGCCGGGCTCCTCGTGGCCTTTCCACCCTCACCCAGCCCCAAGTCTGCGATCCACCCCGAACCAGGGATCCACCCCAAACCGCAATCCACCCCCAAACCCGGATCAGAATCCGCGATCCAGCCCGGTCCACCACAGCCTGCAGCAGCGAGACTCGCAGCCTCCGACCTCAGACCGAGTGAGCCGAGTGAAGCCGTTGGGCGCGCGCCCGCAGCTCAGCGCGCGCCCGGACTCCGGAAGCCGCTCCCAAGCCCGCGCGCGGCCGGCAGGCGGCGGTTGCAGCTCCCGCGCAGGCGCCGCTGGCTGGCGGGCACTCCTGGGCTCGTCTGGAACGTGCAGGAATCACCCGCGCGCAGCCCGCCTGGCCTGAGGTACCGCCTGGCGCTTGGGGCGCCGGAGCCCCCGCAGGAGCAGCCCTGGCCCTGCCGTGCAGGTGGAGCTGGGTAAGCGGCTGGCGGAGACACTGGTGCAGGCCGCGCAGATGCCGTCCCACCAGGCCGAGCCGCGCGACTCTTCTCGGCTCGTCCCCCTGCTCTACCGCGCGTACTCCTTCCGCAACGTCTACCAGATCGGCTTCCTGAAGCCGCACCCGGCCCACGTGCAGCTGCTGGCGACGGCCGCGGAGCCCACGCTGACCTTCGAGGCGGTGGATGTGCCCATGCTGTGCCCGCCGCTGCCCTGGACCTCGCCGCACACCGGTGCCTTCTTGCTCAGCCCCACCAAGCTGATGCGTGGGTGGACCGCACCACGCACCACCAGCGGCTGCTGGAAAACTGCGCGCCCACCGCACTGCACGGCGCCCTGGACACGCTCACCTAGCTGGGCAGCTGTGCCCGGCGTGTCAACGGGCGCGTGCTGGACCTGGTGCTGGAGCTCTTCCAGGACAAGGGCTGCCCCAAGCTCCGCGTGTCGGCCCCGCGGTCCGAGGTGGCCCCCACCGCACGAGGCCCCCCTGCCGCCCAGCACGGCGCTGGTGCGCAAGGCCGAGCTGCGCCGAGAGCTGGCGCGCTGCCTGAAGGAGGCCGGCGAGGTGCACAGCCTGCTGGCGGAGGCGCTGTACGGCCTCTCGCTGGCGCAGAGCCTGCGGAACTGCGTCTTCTGACTGCCGCACAACAGGGACTTCCGCGGCCGCACCTACCCCTGCCCGCTGCACTTCAACCACCTGGGCAACGACCTGGCGCGGGCCCTGCGGGAGTTCGCCCAGGGCCGCCCGCTCGGCCTGCGTGGCCCAGACTGGCTCAAGAGCCACGTGGTCAACCTCACGGGGTTCAAGAAGCGCGAGCCGCTGCAGGTGCGCCAGGCCTTTGCAGAGGACGTGACGAGCGATATCCTGGACTCGGTGGACAGGCCCGTGACGGGCCGGAAGTGGTGGATGGGCTCAGAGGAACCCTGGCAGACGCTGGCCTGCTGCATGGAGATTACAAAGGCTGTGCGCACCTCCGACCCTGCCGCCTACGTCTCCCACCTCCCAGTCCATCAGGACGGCTCTTGCAATGGCCTGCAGCATTACACCACCCTGGGCCGGGACAGTATGGGCGCCGCCTCTGTCAACCTGGAGCCCTCAGACGTGCCGCAGGACGTGCACAGTGACGTGGCCGCGCAGGTGGAGGTGTTCCGCAGGCAGGACGGCAGGCGCGACTCGTGGGTGGCGCAGGTGTTGGAGGGCTTTGTCACCCGCAAGGTGGTGAAGCAGACGGTGATGACTGTGGCATATGGGGTCACCGGCTTTGGCGGGCGCCTGCAGATTGAGAAGCGCCTTCGGGAGCTGAGTGGCTTTCCCCAGGAGTTCCTGTGGGTGGCCTCCCACTACCTGGTCTGCCACGTTCTTCAGGAGCCTGCAGGAGATGTTCTCGGGCTCTCGGGCCATCCAGCGCTGGCTGACCGAGAGCGCCCGCCTCATCTCCCACATGGGCTTGGCGGTGGAGTGGGTCACACCCCTGGGCATCCCCATCATCCAGCCTTACCACCAGGAAATAAAGGTCAAGCAGGGCGGAGGTGGGATTCAGAGCGTCTCCTACTCTGTCAACGCAGACAGCAGCCTGAAGCCCAACAAGCTGAAGCAGAGGAACTGGTTCCCCCCCAACTTTATCCACTCGCTGGACTCCAAGCACATGGTGCTGACCACCCTGCACTGCTACAGGGAGGGCCTGACGTTCGTCTCTGTACACGACGGCTTCTGGACCCATGCGGCTGACGTCCCCGTCGTGAACCAGGTATGCCAGGAGCAGTTCGTCCGCCTGCACAGCCAGCCCATCCTGCAGGACCTGTCCAGGTTCCTGGTCAACCGGTTCTGCTGCAGCTCCAGGCCCCAGAAGCTCTCCCAGCATCTGGAGGACAGCAAGCTGAGGGAGACGCTGCTGGTGGTGCCCAAGTCAGGGGCCTTCGATCTGGAGCGGGTGAAGCGTTCCGCCTTTTTCTTCAGCTGACGTCTCGTCGTGCCATTGTGTAAATAAAATAAAGCTGTTTAGCCACCACCCCCCAAAATAAATCTCCTCCTTCGAAGAGAGATGGGGTGCTGGCAGGGATCTTCCGCAGCGCCGGCAGATCGTCCGGCTTGGCTGCAGCCGCCGGGACACCTGGCAGTGGTTCGGGGATGCTGGGAGTGCCAGCGGTCGGGAGTAGTTGCCAGGCGGCTGTTGCCAGCACACAGAGGGCAACTGCAGCTTGGACGCCCAAGCAGTGGAGCATGGTCTGGGTGGCCTCCGGAATGCGTGCGCGCCAGGCCTGAGGGCCCCCTTGGTGGTGCCAGGCGCCCCGCTCCTCCTCTGCAGGACCCTGGAGCAGCTGCAATGGCTACTCTGCAGTCACGGGGGATGGAGTTCAGTTTTCTTATACCACCCATGCACACAAAATGGTAACTATTACGTAAGGTAATTATTCAAATTGACTTCATTCTGGTAATCATTTCAGAATGTGCATGCAGATATAAACACATCACGCTGTACTCCTTGACTATGTACAATTTTTATTTCTTTATTATACCTCAGTAAAGCTGAAAAAATTAACAGGATTGAAAGGCTAAACCCACAGTATTATAGTAATAATTGAACACTTGAATACCTCATTTTAATTAATGCATAGAAAACCAGACCGAAGTTTCATGAGTAAAGAAGACTTGAACAACAGTATAAATCATTTAGAGCTAATACAAATATACAGAACAGTTCATCCAACAGCAGCAGAATAGACATTTTTTTCAAGTGGATATGGAACTTTCTCTAGGATAGGCCTCATATTCAGCCACAAAATATGTCCTAATTATTTTTGAAAGTTTGAAATCATACAAAATACAATTTACAACCACAGTGAAAGAAACAACAGATAAATTAAAAATGAAAACTGGAAAATTCACAAATATGTGGAAATTAATACACTCTTAAACTACCAGTGAGTGAAAAAATAAATCACAAGCAAAATTATAAAATGTCGTGAGACAAACTAAAATAAAAACACACCGAAACTTATTGAATGCAGTGAAAATAGAGTTCAAAGGAAAATGTATGAATATAAACAACTACACTTATGAAAACAATCTCAAATCAGTAACCTCACTGTGTACATGAAGGCAGTAGAAAAAAACAAAAAAAGACTAAATCCAGAGCTAGCAGAAGGAAATAAATAATAAAGATTAGAGCATAAATCAATAAAATAGAAGGCTGAAAAGCAGTAGAAGAAATAAACATAGCTAAAAGTTGATTCTTTGAATGATCAAACCTGTAACTATATTGACTGAGCAAAAGATGGAGGACTCATCAAAATCATAAGTGAAAGTGGAGCTGTTACAACAAACTTTATACAAATAAAAAAAGATTATAGGACTATACTGTGAACAATTGTATAACAACAAATTAGGTGCTCTGGATGAAATGGATGAGCTGCTAGAAAGACACAAACTACCAAAATGGCTCAAGAAGAAAGAGAAAATCTGAATAGACCCATAACAGACAAGGAGATTGAATTTGTAATTGAAAGTGATTTAACAAAGAAAAATTTATGACCAAATAGCTGCATTACTGGTGAGTCTACCTAATGTTTAAAGAAGAATGAATACCATTTCATCTGAAACTCTTTCGACAAAATGTATGAAGAAGGAATACCTTCTAATTCATTTTTTGGCAACAGCATTATCCTGATACCAAAGAGAGAGACAGCACAAAAAAGAGAACTACAGCATAATATTCCTTATGAATATATAAGCAAAAATCTCAGCAAAATACTAGCAATATTAGCAAAATATCAGCAGCAATACTGTATAATCAAAAGACTGTAAACTACCACCAAGTGAGATTTATCCCAAAAATAAAGGGTGGGGCAACAGATTAAAAGTCAGTGTTGCCAGGCGCGATGGCTCACGCCTGTAATCCCAGCACTTTGGGAGGCCGAGGCAGGTGGATCGCGAGGTCAAGAGATCGAGACCATCCTGGTCAACATGGTGCAACCCCGTCTCTACTAAAAATACAAAAAATTAGCTGGGCATGGTGGCGTGTGCCTGTAATCCCAGCTACTCAGGAGGTTGAGGCAGGAGAATTGCCTGAACCCAGGAGGCGGAGGTTGTGGTGAGCCAAGATCGCGCCATTGCACTCCAGCCTGGGTAACAAGAGCGAAACTCCGTCTCAAAAAAAAAAAAAAAGTCAGTGTTATATACTATAACAGTAAAATGAATAAGCAAATGATTATTTCAATTGATGCAGAAAAAGCGCTGATGAAATAAAACACCCTTTGATGATAAAAATACTCAATAAACGAGGCATAGAAGGGAAGTTCTGCAGCATGACAATGGGATATAGAAAAAACTGACACTTAATATTGTGCTCAATGATGAACCACTGAAAGCTGTTTTCTTAACATCTACAAGACAAGGATGATGATTTGCCACTTCTATTCAACATAGCACTGGCAGCTCTGGCCACAGCAATTAGGCAAGATGAAGAAATAAAAAGCATCTAAATTAGAAATGAAAAGTAGAAGTAAAATTATATCTACACATGATCTTATGTGTATAAAGCTCTAGAGAAAACACAAAATCTATTAGAACTAATAAAAGAGGCAGGATGCAAGACAAACATATGCAAATTAATTATATTCCTATATAGTTGTATAAACTATCAAAACATTATTAAAATTCCATTTATAAAAGCATCAAATAATAGGATATTCAGGCAT